AGAAACCAACCTTAATAGCAGCAAAAGATAGCATCATGGTCACAGTGTAGAGCGAATGAAATAGGGTGAAGGTAAAATCCGTCTTAGATGCTTGGAGCTACTTTCTACGATGGTGAAAGATCGATGTGTCCTAAATACCCTTTACTGCATTCGATAAAGTAGACAGAGCCAGAGGCAAGACAACTTTGAAATCCCAATTCAACTAGGCTTCGTTAACCAAAGGTATATTAACGATTATTCATATCAGACATGCTCGTCTTATGATGTAAGGATAATGAAACAGCTAACTGAAGGTAAAGTGTCTTTCTGATGCCAACTCTGATTTGCAAGTGCGCCTCAAACGCAAAAACACCGAGAGACAAAGCCCTGGGACTTTCTGTTTGAAATCTTTTCTGTTTGTAAAACTAAGGAATTTGAATGATTATTCCAGTAAAACAAACTTGTGTTGCTATGCAGGGTTAATGAAATAGCAAGCTGAAGGTAAATGCGTCTTATTCTCTGTTTTTTTTTTATCCAATCAATACACCATTATTTCGCAAAATATTTTCACTCTCAGATTGTTATTCTTCTTATCATACTCTAGTTTAAAGTTTAAATTGTTATGGTCGTAAGAGGGTAATCAATGTTGATTCATATGTCTAAATTCCGAAGCCGATTATCAGAAGTGGTGCCGTCTTAAAGTCCGCAATATTTTCCTGTCGTGGCGATGCTATTGATCCAATTTATATAGTCTGAAAAATAGTAACATCACAATAAAATCGGGACATAAATAATTAGAGATATGATTACAGTACTTTCTTTCTGTCCAATATTTACCTTTCATTAAATATTAAACCTAAATACTTTTATGTTAATTGCATTAACTTTACTGCTGTCATCATTGTCTAAGACTGATTGTCAGTCATTTTCATTATTGAATATGATTACAAAATCATTACAATATGTTTCTTATGGCTGACATTTCACGGCAAGGATTAAACCCTGCTTGTATAATAATTTTAGTATTACAGAAATGAAGTACAGAGAATTCAACAAAATTTCTTTTATCAGACTGATATCGTCCTTCACGAAACTGAAAGACGATAATGAAAAGGTCTGTAAATTGTTCGCTTGTCACCCTAGGTTTTATAAAACCCATGTCATTGACTGGCTGCGTCCTTTAAAAATCCACATTAACTATGGTCTAGCGCCGGTGTATTGCCAAAATTAGCAAATTTGCTGCACTCGTAAAAGCTGAGAGCATTTCTTACTTGGCAGATCCGTGTAGACTCCAAATCTGCCCGGACTCGCGCAGCCTGAGCCCCAGCTGACGACCCCGGCAAGGTAATGACGCCCGTCTGTCTCCTCGACCGTCAGCGGTCCGCCGCTGTCACCCTGAAGAGAGCGATAGAACATGCCAGACCTGATGTGTGTTCACTGGCTGAATGCCTTTTGACTGCCTAAATGGAGATACAGAAATATAATGTACCCTTCTTAGACCATCTGCATTAAAGCAGACAAAATTTCAGTTAAGGCTGTTGCGGACAGTGTTCAAGTCTAGCATTAATGTTATTAAAAGGTATCTTGTCTAAAATTCACGAAATCAAATCTTAGTTGTGAAATTTTCAACAACAGTTTCAAGAAGACACTTTACTTGGCAGGAGTCCTTCCCGCCCTCGCTCAGGCCGGCACAGATCATGTTCTGAGTGACGGAACTTCCGTACACGGCCTGGCACTCGGTCCGCGTCGTGATGGGTATCGTCACCTCCCTTGCGACCTCCGGCTGTGTTCCTCCTGTGACAATTAGAGAACGGAAATGAAACTCACGGAAGTAAAATACCCAATGGCTCTTCTCCTATACGAAAATAGACCAGGAAAGAAACCCAGGAAAAATAAGAAAATATCCAGCTGAGCCCTAACCAGCAATGCTGGACTTTCACTCCACTGGTTGCTGAACGCACCCGAGGAGGTGGTGCCCCAGCCGGTGACGGTGGCGTCTCTGCCGGTGAAGTCAGCGTTGAGGGGAGGCAAGCACACGGGCTTGATTCCAGGCCAGTTGGTGAAACTGACCTTCTCACTGATGTGCACCAAAGCGATGTCGTTGTCCAGCTGCGGGAAAGTGAGTGATTAGGTGCCAGAAAAAATCCTTCATATCGTCTTTCAGTAAAGTGTGACTTGAGAGAAATTCCGGCTTTAGACCTCGCACTACTTCCTCTGGGATAGAGTGACTCACCGTGTTGGTGTTGTAGTTCGGGTGAATGACGATGCGATCGGCGGTCCGCGTGATGATGCGCGTCGGGCCGTTGTTCCAGTCGTGCATGTTGAACAACACGTCCACGCTGCTCGGCGAAGTTCTGGGAGCGGACGGCAAAAGTTAGTGGTGATTTACTGAGCCCTATTTAAAGGGATGCATATACCTCGTTTCTTGCAAAGCCGTTGGAAGCTCATAATTTTCAAGTACTTCCATTAATGTGACCTTTTTCAGAGAAGCAAATGAAAAGTTGAGAGTCAAATAAGCAAA